AGGCATTTCTCAGAATGTATCTGCATCATCAAATGATGCCTGGCCGCACCTCTGGCTAAGGGATGACAAATAGAGGTGGTGTGCATCACTTAAGAACGGTGCAAGATTCCATTGCTCTTCTCTGAAGCCCCTTGAGGTCACATAATAGGATGCTGTCACCACTAGGCAGAAGGTGCTGAAGCTAAGCCAGTGATGGAGCTGTCTCTGAACTTCAGGGGAAGCCAAGTTTTAAAATCATAACCCTCAGAGACCTGCCATCAGACCACATGAAAGAAGAAGGAAAAATCTAGACTTGGACACTGAGATTTGGGGGGGCTATTCATCACTGAGGCGTGGTCTGGCCAGGAAACAGATAAGCATCTTAAATTGAAGAAAATGTTTCTCTAGAAATTTACTAATCAGATTGACTCCTCAAGAATGTAGAAGTATGTCTCCCAAAGAGGAGGGTGAAGGCAGGCAGGGAGTATGTTTGTACAGACCATAGCAACGGACAACAACCTTTGTACTAGGAATCCAGCATATTTTGGCACAGATCTCTTATTTCAACCACAAAGTTTATTCTAAACCAAACAGAAGGCAAATCTCAAATAATATCTCCTTTTGATATGTGGATGTTTAATAATGCTCTTTCCCCCCGCTCTTCCTGTAGATGTCTATCACACAAACGAGACTAATGTGGATGGAAGTCTTGTATTTCCAGTCCTTTCCTACAGCTCCACTCACACATTAAATAATGCAAGATTTCTAGACTATACTGTCTTGGTGTCTATTATTTTACTTTAAGAAATCTCATCAATCCTATCTTGGAGTTGGGGTTACCAAAGATACAGTTAAGTATTACATTTGCTGCTATAATGGGGGAAATTTTTTGAAATAACAAATCTCAGAGCATCTAACACAGCTTAACTCCCTAGTCCAAAGGGATCCGAAGGAAAACAAAAGCATCTCAGAGGGAGGAGAGTTTCCATCCAGAGCTGACTTACCCCAGGAGCTGCTAACTTGGTAAGGGAATTTCTCTTCTCATGCTTACATTTCCATGAAGTAATTAGGGAATTGGAATTTAGTTCTGCATAGAAGGTGATTTCAGATTTTTGCAGTTTGTTAATAAAACATACAGATGTTGCATGATAAATTGGGGGTATTTGGGCCATAAGGACCATTCTTGGAATGATCTTGTTCACTAAATGTGCTAAGCAAGTTTATGAGAGGTTGATTCATACAATGTCTTGCCTAAAGTATTACCCAACCCCATCTACTTTCCCTAGAGTTTTGAATTTCTCCACCATGGGACAATGAGAACATTTCCTAAATATGACCCAAATTTTTCTCTTCCTGCATTACACTTTTAGCTTCTCCCTAGGGCGCTTTATCATCTGACCTCAACTCTCCTCCTACTTAGCCTCACCCTCACTTCCATCCTGTTTTGAACCAATCACAGCACACACACCCCATTGTCAGCTTCTTCAGTTTTCCTTGCCTCTGTATATGCTGCCTCCACTCCTTCCTCCTCTTCATCAGATGGAGGTTCATTGTTAAGATGCAGCTCACTGGGCTGGGTTGTAGAATGATAGAGCACTTGCCTAGCACTTGGAGATAGACAGCTTGCCTAGTGCATGTGAGGCACTAGGTTCAATCCTCAGAACCACATAAAAAATAAATAAAAATAAAGGTATTGTGTTCATAAAAAAATGATGCAGTTCATATTATTATTACCAGCAACCAGCATTAATAAGTACACCACAAGCTCTGAAAAAAATATTTATAAAGGTACACTGTAAAAATTGTAAATAGTATGTAACCCACTGAGTAACCATTTTTAATCACCACTTGTTGAATATTAGGCTTTTGATAACTGGTTCAGTTCTTGGTGAACAAGAAGGAATTCTCTAGGACCTATCACCATAAAGGCTCACTCAACTACAAAGGAAGAAAACAACTTCCAAAAGTCACATGGTTCAAACCCAGCTGTCCATGAACTTCAGGGGAAGTCAAATTTTAAAGGTATAAACCTCAAACATTTAAAATGGGGCTTACTCGAAGGCAATACAACCACAGTGACTCAAAGAAAATGAGTCAGAAATGTTTGCTGCTGTTTTTAGTATCTGCTTCTCTTAAGGAGGTTGAAAAATACCCCTTCTCTGCAAATATTTTTAAAATAAGCAAGTAGACTGGGCGCGATGTCGCACACCTGTAATCCCAGCAGCTTGGGAAGCTGAGACAGGAGGATCGCAAGTTCAAAGCCAGCCTCAGTAACAGTAAGGCCCTAAGCAACTCAGTGAGGCCCTGTCTCTAAATAAAATACAAAAAAGAGGATGTGGCTCAGTTGTTGAATGCCCCTGAGTTCAATCCCCAGTATACACACACACACACACACACACACACACACACACACATACACACACACACACACAAAGGCAAGTAGTTTTCCCTGGGCCCAGAAAACTTAGCTGTCATAAGATTAAAAGGCAAATTATACACACACACAAATACACACACACACACACACACACACACACACGACTATAAAGCAGAAAATTACATGTTTAAAGAATTTACTGTCTAATAACATATACAGTAGTACCCCCTTTTATCAGTATGTCTGTATATGGGTTGTAGAGAATGTATTTCCCAACACTTAGAACAATGCTTAGCACCTAATAGTTGCTCCACAATTGTGTAGAACTTCAAAGTCCATTAGAACTGAGCTTTTATTCCAAGTGAAATAGGAAGTTTGAAGAATCTTGACAAAGAAAAGTAACTTGATCCGACTTAACATTCAGAAGAATCACTTTGGGTTACTGTTTTTTGCAATAGTCCAGGGTGGTAGCAATGGAGGAGGTGAAAAATGTTCAGAGTCTGTATGAATTCTGAGGCTGGACCAACAGATCCTGACGGTGAAAAGGGTGCAGAGTGCATCATGATGAAGACTAAGTTAGGAAGGAGTTCTGTGTGGGGGGTGTGGGAGAAGCTAAATTCAATTTTAGGCTGATTTGATTTCAACATGACAATAGCACTCACCATTTAAAATGTCCATGGGCAATCAAAGAAGTGAGAGCTCAGATGAGAACAAGCCCCAAACACAGATACGCAATTCATCAGCACATGAGTAAGAGATGAAATGAATAGTGTGGCAATTGAGGCCAGAGTTTCCACAACAAAGCAGATTTCAGGAGGACTTTTATAAGAAGTCAATATTCTATCATCATATCCATGCACTGTTCAAATCTCATTAATCCCTGCTTCCACTCTGGCTCCCTGTAATCAACCCCATCTTGCCCCCCATCCCCAAAATAGAATTCAGAGTGCTGGAAACACCTCCCATTCCGGGTCTGTCTGCCTTAAATAGGAGGTTCCCCTCTTACATAGCAAGTAGAGCCATCAGGCAGAAAAAAAGGCTTTGAGTAGAACTTGCCAAATAACCCAGGGGCAGTTTACTTAATGCGTCTGGGTTAGGGTGCTTGATCTGTACCATGGAAAGGATTGGACTAGATGATATATAAAGTTCCATTCCTCATCTCACAATTGTTTTTTGTTGTTGTTGTTTGTATGTTTGTTTGTTGTTTTTTTTTTTTTTCATTTAGATCAGATTCTTTCTGAGCTCTGCCTTCTCAGGAGTCCCTTGGGCTTCTGGTTCACCCTTTAATCAGGGCTTCTGAAGTGGAAGGTGGCTCAGAGAACAACTAGAGCTTTTCCTTCTAGTGTCTAGTAGGTTCTCTCTTTGCTCCCTTTTAAAGAACCAGCACTGGACATTCCTTCACCAAGAATTCAGGAAAAATAAAAATCACCTTTGTTTTTTTTTTTTTAATCACAAAGGACCTGGGTTCTCTCCACCACTTTTTAAAGTAACTGCTTGCTACCTAGTCTCAGAAAATTGAGAGTAACAAATCCTAGTGTATGTATTTACCTTTTTTTTATTGCCCTGTGGCCTTAACTCTGAAATTTTAAAAAGCATTTTTTTTCACAGTGCTTAACACAAATGGCACTAGCATTTGGTGGAACAAATTAAATTATTGTTTTAGAAATATCCTGTAAGTACTCAGAAGTGCCATTGTGTGTTACAGTTTTCTGTCTTGGTAGCAAATTGTTTCTCTGTTCTCATTAAAATCATTTCAACTAGCTTCCCCTCACCACTCTAAAGACTGAATTCACAGGGACCAGCAGATTTCCAAACCATTCTTCACCCTCTACTTACTTAAATTCCAGTTAGCATCTTTTTTCTGCCTGATGGCTCTACTTGCTATGTAAGAGGGGAACCTCCTATTTAAGGCAGACAGACCCCGAATGGGAGGCGTTTCCAGCACTCTGAATTCTATTTGGGGGATGGGGGGCAAGGTGGGGTTGATTACAGGGAGCCAGAGTGGAAGTAGGGATTAATGAGATTTGAACAGTGCATGGATTTGATGATAGAATATTGGCTTCTTACAAAAGCCCTCCTGAAATCTGCTTTGTTGTGGAAACTCTGGCCTCAATTGCCACATTAATCAGCACGCAAATGTTACCTGGTGTCCCTTTCTCTAATTTCTGAGCAATGACTCCTAGGTATATATTTATAAAAACTCATTCTGGTGCGTCTGGATACCTTCAGAGTGGGAGACTTGCGAAAAGGCAGGAGAGTGTACTAAAACTGGGGTGGAGGGCAACGTGGATTCCACTGGCTGGGGGCGAACAGGAGAGGATCAAGCAGGACCTGGCACTGATTTTCCAGTTGCTAAGGTCGCCGGCGTCCTTGGTTACCGCTCTAGGTCAGGTGCTCCGCCAACAGCCCGGTAGCCGCGGAATCCCGCGCTCTGCAGGAAGCGCCACCCCAGCGCCTCCAAAAGGCACCAGGACAAGTTCCCTTCCTTCCCGCCATCCCAGCCCAAGGCCCAGGTTCCCGTTAGGAGTCACAAACGGGGACTTTGCAAAGCGATCTCACCGACGCCTGTCCCCGAAAAGCCCCGCGAGGACTGTGCGGGGATCTACCGCGGGGCGAGTCCCGGGGGCCTCCCACCCCGACTCACGTTGTACTCTTTGGCCCAGGAGTCTATCCTGTCCTGCAACCGTCGTAAAGTTTCGTTCGAGACCAGCCTCCTCAGGTTTTCCGCCATCGCTGGCTTTTTCTACGCGGCTCGGCTATGGGAGACAGACGTGGAGGGGCGGAAGCAGTGGCCTCCGCGGGACCGCCGCGTGGTGTAGCGGGAGGGTGGATATCTTCCAGGGGGGCTCAGATCGCAGCTGGTGTTTCCATCCTCCCCTTCGGGTCGGACCGGGCAGGGTTCGGGATGCCAGGGGGGGGTGCCCTGGGCCGCAGCTGTCGCGCCTCATCCGCTGCCCGGCGCGCCCTCCTGGTTCCCCCGCCGCCGCCCGCGAGCCCCAGCCACTTATGTACCCTGGCGATTATTAAACAAACCTTGACGTGGGCGGGCGGCTGCCGGGGACGCCGCGTCGACGCCGCGTCGGGGCAACGCTCTGGCCACCCCGCCCCGCCCTGCGGCGCCCGGCCTCTGGACTCACCCACTATGCGCCACGCCGCTGCTCCTGATGCAGCTTCTCCTCCTGCTCCTGCTTTTGGTGCAGTGGGGCGAGGGCGAGGAGGGCCAAAGCCACCCGGATTCGGGATCGGGCGGGAACTGGAAGGCTCCGAGATCCGAACCGAAGCGGTGCGACCCCTCGATGGGTCCGGACCGATGGCAGTGCTGACTGGGGTGGCACGCAGGCAGGCAGGCAGCCGGCGGCCTAGAACCCTCCTCGGCACGCCAAGCAAAAGTTAACCCGCCATGAACTTTTTTTTTTTTTTTAGACTCTCGGGAAATCACTTCTTTGGCCCTTGCTTTATTCTTTCTCCTCTCAAACCTTTCTTGCATCTGCAGCCTCCTGGGATTTGCCTGTAGGAAACTCGCTGGAACTAAAACTTCTATCTTTTGCTTTATTTTTTTACCCCACAGGGTGGGTGTCCAAGTTGATGGCACTAGGAGGTTCACAAATTAGAACTGATCCCTCAGGTTTGGATAGGATTTGGTAGTATGTGCGAGCATATTCGATTGTGCCATTAAAGCTTCATTTAATTCTGAATTCCTTAAATGAGACTTTGTAGAAGTTCTCACTGCGATCTGTCACTATTTCAAAAGAATGCATTCAGCCACAGTGAGTTGTAGTTTGAACTATTAAATTAAATCATTTCAACCATTAACATGTTAGAAGCAATCTCTTGTTTTATATACCATCAAATGATGTGCTGATTGCAAATCACCTGTTCATTAAATCATGGAGGTGAAGCTAACAACTTTAAACTCGGTTTCATTTCTTTAGGTACTTGAGAGGAAATTGAACATTGTGTATATCAGATTACCATAAAATTCAGAATTTGCACCACCTCTTGTTTTTATTCCTTTTAATTGCAGTGGTTTTAATGTTCAATCATGAAAATAAAAGGTTCGTTTCTGGAGTCTGCATTTCTGCTAGTTTTTGTACACCACAAAATTAGGTGTGTCACAAAATGTTGGTGTGTCACAGTAGAAAAATTACTAAAGTAAAAAGAAAAAAATCCTATTCATTAAACATCTCCTTCCTAAAATGTGGGAGCAGGGAAGAAGGAAAGGAATGGAGGAAAAACAGATTTCTTAATTTGGAACCAATAGCATATTCCAATAGGTAACAGGAATCTGAGCAGTCCTGCTTACTTATAATAAAAAAATGAACCGGGACAGTTGTTTATGACAAATTAGAGGCTAAATCCTTTTTCCTTGCTCTGAGCACTTTAATTAGCCTGTAATCCTTGTTTCATCATCTGTAAAAATACAATAGTTCTTACTTCATAGAGTTATTATGAGCCCAAATAAGATAATTCATGTAAAGTACTCAGCATAGAGTTTGACAGTGCTCAAAAAATTCTACGATTGGTATTACTAGGAATTTTGATCACAGTATTATATTAAATAAAACTAGGTTGAAATTATCCAAATTTCTAATAACAGGATAATGTTTTAGTAGATCATTCAATGAAATATTGTATAAAAAAGTCTTAAGAGGAACATTTAATATCTAGAAATTCTCACTATATAATATTAAGTGAAAAGCAGGATATTACATTATATATTGTGTTAAATTATATAATACAAAAACAAGGTGTTAGCTCCTTTATAGTTTTCCAATTTTCCAAACTTTTACCATGACTATCAATTGCTACTATGAATATTTATCAGAAAAAGTTAGCAAAAACTTTACCATTCCTGGAAAAATGTTAGCCAAAATATGAATGGTTAAGCTGGTGATTTAGAACAGAATATGACTTCACCAAATGTCCTTGCTACTAATTTAATTATTAGACTTACAGTGACTTAAGATAGAACGATATTTTGATATCACCCTAGAATATGCTACCTTGTGCCATTTATCTCCTCATATGCTGTAGTCCACAACTAGACTCAAAATCCTCAAGATACTTAAAGCCTGAAGACTTGCAGTACTTAAAGCCTGCAGTACATCTTGGTTACCCTGGAACTCAGGAGCATGCATTGTACATAAAAGGACCTTTGTGTTTATTGATAACAGAAATGGGCCTTCCATTCAATGACTCAAAATAAGGGGAATGAATGTTCCACAAACTGTTCATCCACACTACTTCCTAAAAAAAAGTATCTGAGATGGCTTACAGTGAAAGACTTGTAGAAAATATCAGTTAGAAGTTTTTTAAAGGAAAAAGAAAATATTCCCTAAATTTGGGTGAAAGATTGAACCTCATTTCCTATCCATTCAATTAAGCCCAGGCAGAAAGAAAAATGAATTTTATGATTATGATTATTTGATTCTTAAAGTACATGTCTCTTCTTCGAATGGAAACATTTTCCTGGTACCAATTCTAAAATATGTTTATCTTTTAAAAAACATTATAGAACAATATAGTTGAAAGGTGCTTTAGTAATCATTTTTAAGAAAATATACAGCCAAGCCAGGCACAGCTGTGCAGGCTTGTAATCCCAGCGACTCGTGAGGCTGAATCAGAAAGATTGCAAATTCAAAGCATCAGGAACTGAGTGAGGCCTTAGGTAACTTAACAAGCCTGTGTCTCTAAATAAAAAATCAAAAGGGCTGGGAATATGGCTTAGTAGTTTAGGCCACAGGTCAATAATCAATTTGATTATTTTAGGATATATGTATATTATACAGGTACTATTATATATATATATATATATATATATATATATATAATATACACAACTATTATATATATATATATAAATAGAACTATTTTATATATATATAAATATATATATATTTATATATATATATAGAACTTCCATGCCCATAGTGGATTTCTAAGTGCCCTTAATGACGCTCCCCTCTGAACAGTTTTCAGTGGGCACTGAATAGCAATCAATTTAAGAGAAAGCAAGATCTCAGAATGCAAATATCTGAAGTTGCTGGTTACAAAAGAGCCCATGTGCTTTGAATTATAAGAATGCATTCAACCTTGGAAATTACATCTCACCACCACTGCCTCGGATGCTGGACATGGAACCACGGCACCTAAAGTTTGCCCTGCTAGGTTTCCATCTTGCTTTGGTCTCATCGCTTCTTTCCATGCCTTTATTCTTCTTTTTTGGAATGGGAACATTTACTCTGTGCCATCGTATATTGGATGTATGTAACTTGATTTTGATTTTTACAGGGGCTCACAGCCACAAGTTTGCCTTGAGTCTTGGAGGAGACTTTGGACTTGAGCAATGCAGGAACTGTTCAGTCTATGAGAACTCTTGGAAAAATACTAAATACATTGCACTGTAAGTACTAAATACTGTAAGATGGAAATGAGTTTGGGGGGCCAAGGGGGGAATGTTATGGTTTGCATCTTGGATGTCCCCCCAAAAGCTCATGTATTAGGTAATTCAAGAATGTTCAGAAGAGAAATGATTAGATTATGAAAGCTGTAACCTCACTGGTAGATTAATCCATTAATGGATTAATCATTTGAATGGATTACTGGGTGATAACTTTATGCAGCTGGAACATGACTGGAAGAAGTAGGTCAGCTGGGGGGTATGGCTTGGGTTATACCGTCCCATGGCTCCTCCCTGTCTCTCTGCTTTCCTGATACCATAGCTGAGCATCTTTCCTTTCCGACGCCCTTCCACCTACCTCACTCTGGTCCAGAGCAATGGAGTTGGCTGACCATGAACTCTGAAACCATGAGCCCAAAATAAATTTTTTCCCTCTATTTTGTTTATTTTGGTAACAGTGACCCAAAGTTAGCTAACAGAAACAAATTTAGAACATGGACACCGTTGCTTTATTTTACACTCTATTTGTGAATTAATGACTATATATATTATTAACCACTATGAGTCACATTTCTTTCATCTATAAAATGAAAAGCATGGACTAGATGAGTTCTAAGATCTCTTGTAGTCCTGACATTCTTTAATGCTATTTTAACTTTTTATATGTTCAGGATCGAACACACCTTGCGCCTTGTTTCCATTTTTGGTTCACAGTTTAGTTTGGACGCAGTCTTGATTCTGAGTTTTTGCTAATCACCAAAAGTTGAGCATCGTTTATGAGTACAAGTTATTTCACAAGCTTGTTGGAATAACATTCCTAACTCTAGTAAACAAGGAATTTCTCTATGTTGCACTTTTAATAAATTTAGGCCTAGCTCCACTGACAGATTTCCTAACCCCCCAACCCCTAGAGCTCTTCACTCTTCTTCATACTTTCTCTAACTTTTAGACATTGTCACATTACATAATACTTATTTGTCTGCCTTCTCTATAAGCCTGTGTGTTTCTTGAAGGAAAGGGCAAAGGCTTATTCAGCACAGCCACTGGCTTATGAGAAAGGAAGGAAGGGGAGGAAGAAGGGAGAGAGGAAGGAAGGCAGGAGATGATTGGCTGAATTATATCTGATGTCATAATCCCACTGAGGTAGAAAAAATTTACCAGTTATTCATTCTTAAGCTGTCATAATTCTACCTCACAGCCAGGAATCATTTGTTCTAGAGAAGTATAATGTGTCAAATATTTACCTGGCAAAGACTTTCTGAAAGTCCTTAATTTTGTCTACTCTGAGTTTTATTTGCATCAATCAACTGGACGTATTTTTCATTTGAGAT